CCCTAGCCGCTTCAGCTATAGGCGCCAAGCTGACAATTGTATTTTTTTAATAAAGGGTAACAAAGATAGATTTTATTTAGGAAGAACAAAGAGAAAATTTAGAGCACTTCCAAAGAGAGTTGGAAGTGGGTCTCTCTTGTAAAGGGGAAAAGGTGAGAGAGACGTGATGACAATTCTAATGGCAAATCTAAGAACATTCAGCTGGCGCACAGAATCTCCACAATTATACGGTTCGTGTTTTCTAACTCATATGTGCACATTTACCCCAACAATGAAAACACAGCATGAAATTAGTCAAGCTGTTTTTATTTCACCTCCTGATACGTGTACATTCTGCCAACTCTCTCTACCTTCAACTTACTGATGGGTAAGAAAAAGCCAAAAGAAAAACGTTCCTGACTTTTCCTTTTCCTGTAGGTCATCATTCTCAGCATAAGTAGTTGGCTGAAATAACACATGTGACAAAGGATACGCCGGGGTTCCTTGGCATGTCTGTTAGAATGCCATTCTTTTCCCTGTGCATTCAAAGCGAGTCCTGGCTCTGTTGAGAAGCATGGCCGCTGCTGCGTCCCTTCCCTACTCCCCAGCTCACCTTCCCCTTCCTCACTCACTCAGCCACAGACTTCATGTGCTCACCTTGTATTCACTCTGAGTCTCACTGGACTTCCACGTGCATGGGTCCCCCGGAATTCTGTACTCCTGGGCATCCCAGACGCACATGAGTTGGAACAGCAGGGAAGGAAGGGCATGTGACTGCATGTGTTCAAAGGTAAAATTAGAGAGAAGAACCAGATGGTAGCAACAGGCAAGTGTGGGGCCCTGCCGGGACAGGGTTCTGTGCAGCTCCCAGGTGGCATGCCCATGAAGCTGGTCCTGGCTGGACTGCATGGTCACAACCAATGGCACCTCATTTTCAAGCAACAAATGGAATGGAAAGAACTGAAAGAGAAAATCTCACAGTTTCAAGACCATAGCAATAAAGAATATCACTTTTCCAAGTCAGATGAGCTGAAAATATTACGATGTGACTTTAAAAGCCATCGGACATGACTCCAACATTCTATTAAATTCAGCAGACATTTATTGAGCTCAACACTGTCCAAAATCCTGGGAGGATGGGGTGGGGGAGTGCTCCTTGGATCAACAGACACTGTTTGTGATGTCAGGAACACCAGTCTAGCCAGGGAGACATAGCTACAGAACTACCCTGCCAGACAGGCTGTGGCGGCTGCTGGGAGGGTCAAAACAAGTGTGATAGAAGCACAAGGGAGGGGACATTTGATTCTAAGTAGAGACGGAGGGTGGGGGGTATAGGTGATATTTGAACTGGTCCTTAAAAAGGTGAGCAAAACATTGATGAAGGATGCAGGCAGGACATTTATCTCCATTTGGATTTCTCCCTAAGAAACAGAACCTGGGACCAGGGTTTTGCGTGCAGGTAGCCTATTTTGGGAAGTGATCCTAGGAAACAAAAATGAAAAGGGAAAGCCAAGCCAGATGTGTATTACTGAGGTGGTCAGTGCATGGGAAAGTGGAGGCCAGTCCCGCTGTGACCCTGTGAGGAGCCACATAGAATGCACCTCCACCCAAGACCATGGGGGAGTTATCTATCTGGTGGCTCCCATCTTTCACTGTTCCAGGGCTGCCCCAGAGCTGTTCATTCATCCCTCAGCATTTCCAGGTCTGCACATGCCTGAGACCGCTGAGCAGGCTCCCCTAGTGAGCCCCACCATAGTAGCAGATGAGCCCAGGGGCAGAGAAGAGAAATGTAGTATGTGGTACAGCTGGGCTGAGCTGAGGCCAGGCTACACCTGTGCACTGCTGGTTGCCACAGCAACACCTGGAACAAGGAGGAGTGGCATGAGAAAAGCCTCAGAGACATTCTACACAGCATCTAGTCCAGTGGGTCTCAGACTTAAACTTGTATCAGAGTCACTGCCGCAGATCAGCGGGCCCCATCCTCAGAATCCCTGGTTCAGTAGATCTGGGATAGGGACAGAGAATCCACATTTCTAATACCTTCTCTGGATGAGCATTAAGCCTTCTATGATAGTCGTCCACTCTGCGCAAGAGACACAAGCCTGAATAAGCAGAAAAAAAGAGAAGTTGTCTAAAATTAAAAAAAAACATACATACATATTTCCAACAAAAGTGTAAAATCGATTTCATCATAACACAAACAGAATGGGCATGCATTCACATGAGCCATCCCCACAGAGAATTGCTCATCTATCGATAATCTGACGAGAATTTCAACAGCCAGAAATGAAGACGCAGTTGACGTTGGTAAGATTATTCATCCCATATCCCCAGCTCAATCCAAATCCGTTCACTGCCCTCCTTGGGACCAGGGAGACCAATCTCTCTAGACTGGATCATCCAGATTGGCCAATGGGAGACACTGTCAGGACATTTAAAAGTGGGAGAAGAGAGAGGTTAGGGCGCTGATTCTCCCCGCTCCCTCCAGCATCTGCTGGTGGCTGCATGGCCATGTGGCTGCCCTCTGTCTAGAGCAGTGTTTTTTAACATTTTTAATCTCACAGCACAGTTGAATCTATAGTTAAACTTCCATAGCATATAAATTATGTCGATCAAAAAAAAGAGTAAGAAAAGAATATACTTACTATGCTTTGGTCCTCTTTCAAAAATAATTTAATTAATGATCTTTAAAAATGTTTGCAGCACACCTAAGATCCTTACACCAGTGTATCACAGCACACCAGCTGAAAGTCACCGTACTAAAGGCTCATCTGGACAGCCCACTGTTCATCAGACTCTGATATTTCTGTCCCCATCATCCCTATTGTCCTTCAGGCTCCAGGGTAATGACAGCTCCTCACTTTTCTTGGTCCTGGGTGCCTCACCCTCCCAGGTTGGTTCCCTGCACTCTGCCCAAAGTGCTCCATTGAGCTTCATATGTTTTCAGTTCGATCATCTTTTTTCTACTAGGATCCTGTCAGTAACAGAGTCTTGGAGGAAAAAAAAATAGAGCCACATAAAGCTTCAGATCTGTGGTTTTTGAGCCTTTCATCATGAAAAATAACCCTTCTAACAGAGATTGATACTAAAATTTTAAGACATAAATGCCAGATAAAATGAAACATAAGATGAATAAATAGATGAGCGAGAGGCAAAGATAAACCAAGGCCTTGGAATGATTGTGTCAATTAAAGCAAGGAGAACTATTTGATAGAGAAAGATTTTCTTCTTTCAAACTCTATGGAATTTGCTATAGGCAAGGGAGAGGCCTTCAAAGTGCTAACTTGTGCTGAACAAAACTTTCCCCCATCTTCACACGTTCTGGGAACATGGAATATTGGCAGGAGAAAAGAAAGTGTGATTTAGGCTGTGCACATGAAAACTTTCAGAAGCCTCTTGGGAAATATGAGATAAGATCAGGTCAGAAATTAAGTAATCAGAGAACGCACTGATAACACCACGTGTTGCAATCAATTTAAAGTTCACATCTTGCTTGGTTTGTGCATCCACAAGGAAATCAGTCAAAAGCCGATGCCTCTTCTGTCAATTTCAACTCTATTCCTCACCCCTGCCTCCAGCCCCAGCCTCTGCTCTTGGTTGAGCATCTTAAGAGAACACAACCATGGTGTTTCTGCTTCCGTCTTCAAGGATCTTGTGAAAGTTACTGTATCCAGGAGGGGACCCCACTCTGTTCAGCAGGAAAGGCTGCTTACATCAGATCTCACAGGGCCCTTCTAAGTGAGGCGCTTAAGTGAGACAGTGCATGTTTTTACAGCTCGGGAGGATTTCGTTTTAGCCTTACAGCACTTCTAAAAGGCCCTCTGTTCTTTCTTCACTCTGTTTACACTGTGCCCTGTTGTTTCCCAGATTTCCAAGGTTAAATCCAGCACCCCATTAAGGCTACTTGAGTCCTTCAGAATTCTCAGAGCTTCTCTGCTAATCCGATGTGTGCAGTGCTGTTCTTTCAGCTGGGCGGAAATGTAGGGTGAATCAGCGCTTTTGTTCACTACCGCAGAATTTTCCCCCATGTGATAATGTGAGATGTGGTGCGTGTCTTTAATCTTCTTATCAATGAGTCTCTCTGGTTTATGGGTTACAGTATTTTTCCTCAGGTGAGAGGATGTCGTGATCGTCCCCCAAATAGTTAAGATTTCTTGAACACTTACTTTGTCCTAGATAACGCATATTTAAGCGCTTAATCCTGTAGTGATCCTGTGAGGTATCCCCATCTTTAGAGATAAAGAAATGGAGCTCAAGAGAGACTGAGAGACTTATCTGAGATCACAGAGCTGGGATGGGAAGCCAGCAGCCCTTTCTTTAATTCTTTAGTCTAACCCAGTTACTCTTGGCTCAAGGTGACTTCTCCCACCCCAGGGGTCATTTGGCAATAACTAGACATTTTGGATTGTCACAACTGAGTGGGTTGAGGACAGGGATGTTGCTAAACACCTCACAATGTACAGGACCACCCTCACCCAAAGAATCCACACCCCTCAAACGCCAATAGCACAAACCCGAGAGCCCTTGGCCTAACCACTATGGCTGTATGTGCGTATTACTGTATAATCTTTGTTTGTTCTAACATCTCTATATTTGCTAGAGATGGCGTCTTTGTCAGAATAGGATTCTAAAAGTATCTCTCTCAGATGTACCATTGATATGTTAGGGCAAGAAAGTTCTGCTCTCCCCCCCAGTTTCTTTCCTCTCTCTTCTCTTTCCTGAGTTGGAATAAAGGAGTAATTAACCGTTTGGTAGAGCAGAGATTAACAGTATGTCGAGATTAGGTGTCCTGTGATGAGCTATCTGGTTCTGGGGTTGACTTGGTAAGACACATCCATACTGCTTAGCAGATACATATATTTTTTAATTATTGTAGGAAGTTGAGAAGAGAAAAGAACTCTCTTACAATTTCCCCAGGTTTTTCTATATAGTAGGAAATATCACACCAATTCTACAGCTTGAGAAAAGTGCAGAGCAGGGCTGCAAGCTCTAATTTCAGCTTTTATAAAAAGTCCTTGAAGCCGAGAGCCTTACTTATTTGGAGCATGCTGTGTTGAGCTCCTGTGCATTGGCCTATGCGGATGAGTCAGGGGAAAGGAGCACAGATATCAGGGTGTGGCTTTTTCTTCTCCCCAGATCTACAACCTGGTTTTCTCTAGGTTAATACATCTTAGAAAAGGAGGAAGGCTTCCTTCTTGCTTGTTTATGAAATGGAAGAGTACTGGCAAATTAAATAACTTTTTTTTTTTTTTCTGAGACAGAGCCTCAAGCCTTGAGTGCTATGGCATCACTGCTCACAGTAACCTCCACCTCCTGGGCTTAAGCAATTCTCCTGCTTCTGCCTCCCAAGTAGCTGGGGCTACAGGTGTCCCTCACAACACCTGGCCATTTTTTGGTTGTAGTTGTCATTGCTGTTTGGCAGGCCCGGGCTGGATTCAAATCTGCCAGCTCTGGTATATGTGGCTGGTACCATAGACGCTTGAACTACGGACGCCGAGCTGATTAAATAACTTTTTAAAGAATCCTTCCATTTCCCAAGAAAAGACCTAGAGGCAAGTTTGGAAACTTCTAGAAGGGTAGAATAGAAAAGGGTTTAGAAAATTGAGGTCATAAATAGGGCTGTTAATGCAATCCTGCTGGGGTTGGAGAATTGTGGGAACGCTTATAACTTCCAGTGTGCCCTTATGCTGGACATGAAAACCTGATACTGATGATTTTTAAGTGCGTGCCAGCTGGTAGGTACGAACACCCTGACCGAGAAAAGCTGAGGACATAGACACAGACAAGCAGTCCCAACATTGCAAGCCCCAAAGTCCTGTGCTCTTCTCAGCATTCCAGCCACAGAGCAGGGCCGGACAGCATTAGCCAAGCCCTCAGAACCCAAATGTGACACGTCCGGTCATTAATGGGCTCCAACTCTAGGCAAATGAGTCCCCTGGGGATCCTGTCTGCAGTGGGGCCAGGATGCTCACTTCCCGAAGGCTCCCAGGTGGTACCAGCTGGCCCTCTGCTCCACAGACCTCATTTTGAGCACCAAAGGTCCAAAGCAACTTAGGACCCCAACAACAAAGGTGCCTCCAGACGTGTGCACACAAGGATTATATTGGAATCCCAATTCCAACATATCCTCTGGATTGCTGTGAAGCCAGGAAAACTTTCTGAGACAGAATCCAATCAGGTCTTGGCCCTGCCCCTTGCTATCAGAGGGGAGTCCAGACACCCAGCTTTGGCATTTCAAGACTCTGCACAGCCTGGCGCCAGCTGGCCTATGCAGGCATCACCGTTGCCTCCCCCTGCTCCTCCACAGGCACCTGCTCTGTTTGAACCGCCCACACTCCTCACTCCTCCACACCTTCTCTCTTTCCTCCCTGCTCCGCCTCCACCTGCAGCATTCTCCTTTCTCCCTCCCCACCTGCCAAACTCCTCCTCACCCCTGCATGCCCTCCATTCCAAAGCCTTCCCAGACAGGTGGTTGCTTCCCATGGCCATTTTTAAATACCCCTGATACGGTACAGATGCCATGGCATTGTGACATTTTACTAAGTTTTTATATCCCCCATTAAACAGTGGATCCCTGGGAACAGAGATTGCGTCTTATTTATTTAGGTAACCCCACTTCTTCCCACAGTACCTGGCACCGATATACAGTGCAAAAGAGTAAGTATCACATCCATTCCCGTTTCTCTTCTCCTATCACATCTTCTTTTCCTATCTCAAGGCCTATAAGATCTTCATTGCTTGGGGTTATCTTTTGCATGGTTTTAAAATCATCATGATAAGAGCTAACTTTTTAAAAATGCTTACTATGGTAGACATCATTCTAAGCACTTCAGTCTTTTTTTTTTTGAGACAGAGCCTCAAGCTGTCCCCCTGGGTAGAGTGCCCTGGCATCACAGCTCACAGCATCCTCCAACTCCTAGGCTCAAGTGACTCTCTTGCCTCAGCCTCCCAAGTAGCTGG